TCAAATGGGCCATGGTTTTGCTTGGCTGGCCGACCTGCCTAAGAAGACGTTTAGTCTTTAGGAGAGTTTGGTGAAAATCAAGGTGGTTGCAGAGCTAGGTGGTCTCACGCCACCTTCTCAATGGGAAGGTACCACAGAGTGCCTTTTTCCCAAAAGAATGAGACTTTCTTGCTCTGATGAAACTTGTAGAACTACAAGTTATTCTACTCCTCGAGTTGGAAAAGAAACCTATGGGCTGAGTTCAGCCCATCCCATTAGCACCACACAATGTTTTATTTTTAAAAAATACGAACATTAAAATTTTGATAGATTTTGCTTTACAAAAATCTGGATTTCTGACTCCACTTTAAAAAAAGGAAGACCTGACAATCCTGGGCAAACCTTCCCGCAGAGCCGCAATGCTTCGGCATCAGGAGGCACTACTTAATTTAGACAGAGCACAGTTTTCCGCGCCACCTCGGCCTCTCCCGCCCTACGACTCTGGTGGTACCAGCTGATGGTTTCCAGCATCTGCTCTGATGAGTCTGGACTGTGCCTTCCAGCTTGTTAACTACCTTGGATGCCATCCCTGGACTCTGTCCAGTCACTTTTCAGGACTCGCTGGCCCCTGCGGGTGTTACAGCTTGCAGCCCCTTCATTGCTTGTTTGCAGTCAGTGTTGCTAGTTGCAAAACATCTGTGGCAACTGAGGTGTTGTACACTTGTCTGAAGCGCGGTGGTGTGCAGAGAAGGCAGCGTTCTGGCCTCAGCCCCCCTCTTCTCATCACTGGCCGCCTATGAACCCTGGCTGACTTTGGGGTGAACGAGACACCATCACTTTACTCTGTTAGCCTTTCTGCCAGGACTGATTGTGACCATTTGTAAATGGAAAGAATAGGAAGGGCTTTATCGTCCACAGGGTTATTTTATAAAGACGAGGATTCTGAAGACACATCTGTTCTTTGTATAACAGATGTTATTTCCTTTCACAATTTTTTTTTCCCGGATGACTGGAATAACAAGTCAATGAGGTTTTGTCCTCTTCGAAATGAATATCCTAGATTTTAGGGGGGAAAACAAAGCACAGTAGGAATGAAAATGATTATTTTTGATTTTTGCATGTCAGATTCTTCGTATTGCGTTACAATAGTAGGACTATCCTCACTGGAAATCAGCTGAAGTCAGGTCTTGCTTTCTAACATGCTACTTTATTTAGATAGGGCTATTTTATTTGGAGAGTAACATGACCCTGAAGTTATTGTTTAGGTACTTCTCCTTAGCTCATGTTGCAGAGTTAACTTTGTTCTTGGCTTACATTTTGAACTTGTGTACATAAAACTGGAGGGACAGATGCAAACTGAGAAGCGGAACCCATGAACGGGACGTGTGCAGACGTTTGGCACCCAGTGGACAAAAATTCAGACATTAGATGGGGTGTGTCAGTTCTTATCTGAAAATGGTGGTATGCTCCTAACTACCTATGGCACTTCAGTTGTGAAAGCAAGCCTTAAAATATTTCTAAAGGAATACAGATTGAAAAATTCAAATAGAACAGGAAGATAATGCAACATGAATCTTCTGCTTACACCTTGCACTCAGTTTTTCGATTTCTTCACTCCCAAAACACCAGTATTGGTTTCTGTATCTATCCAGACACCTCTCTCTTCTTCTCTCTCCTCTTCTCTTCTCCATGCCTGCCCTGAACCAACTATATTTTACACAAATAGCTCATAGTATACACATTTTTACCACCTTAATTTTTTAAAACTAGACAATATCAATGAAAGAACATGCTGTCTCAGTGCATTGATGAACCTTAGTATTCGTCCCAGCTGTATTCCAGTCCAGAGTGTAGATGTGCCATATTTATTTAGCCAGCTCTCTGTAGATGAGCATTTAGGCTGTTCTCGGGTTTCTGATACTCTTAAAAAATTCTGCAACAAACAAGCCTTTGCATAGAGGTCTTTGCTCATATGTATGAGTGTATCTCTAGAATAAATTCCTAGGGGTGGAATTACTAGATCAAAGGGAATATATACGTAAAATTGGGATAGATATTGCCAAATTACCCTTCAGAAGGGGTGTACTGATTTGAACTCTCATCAAAAATGTGGTGGAAGTTGCCAGCTTGGTATAGCTAACTTACTGCTTGCCAGTCTGATGGGTGAACTCTGATAAGCTCACTGTTGTTTAATATACTTTTAAAACTTATGAGCAAGGTTGGGCATCGTTTGATATATTTATACATAATTTTTATTTCTTTTTCATTAAACTATTTGATTATCTCCTTTGCCTCAATATTCGGTTGGTTCTTTTTAATAGTAGGAGTTTTACCAATATAATCATTTAATATCTCTAAAAAGAAATCAGTACCCTTCTGTAATATGTATTACATAAACAATACTCCTCGCTTTGATTTTGCTTGATGTTTTTTTTTCTGCACAGAAATTTTAAAAAGGTATGTTGTCACATGTATAGCCTGTTTTCTGCAGAAGCTTTTGTGTTTTATTTTATTACATGGAAATTTTGATCTATCTGAAAATTGTTCTGGTATAAAGAGTGAGGTTGGGATCTTAATTTTTTCCAGGTGGTGAACTGGTTCCAATGCCTTTGTTGAATAATATTTCTCCTCTAATTTAAAAGACCAGCTTTGGGGCCAGGCGCGTTGGCTCACACCCATAATCCCAGCATTTTGGGAGGCCGAGGCAGGTGGATCACCTGAGGTCAGGAGTTTGAGACCAGCCTGGCCAACATGGTGAAACCCTGTCTCTACTAAAAATACAAAAATTAGCCGGACATGGTGGTGGGTGCCTGTAATCCCAGCTACTCGGGAGGCTGAGGCAGGAGAATCACTTGAACCTGGGAGGCAGAGGTTGCAGTGAGCCGAGATCACGCCACGGCATTGTGGCCTGGGCGACAGCAGTGAAACTCCTCCTCAAAAAATAAATAAGTAAATAAAAAATAAAGGACCACCATTATCACAGACTAAATTTCCGTAGGTGCGTAGGCGTCTTTGCGGATTTTTCTCCCGCTGAACTGTGTATCCGTGTGTCGCAATGAGCCATCTTCATGGCTGTAGTTTTATGCTGTGCCTTATCCTTGTGAGTGTGAATCTTCTCTCTTTATCCTCTTCTGTTTCTTCTCCAGATTTTCTTGCTTATTTTTTATATAAACTCCATAATCATGTATCTCCCCCACAGAAATTCTCTCAGCATTTTCACAACAGATTTCCTAATACGCATAGACTAAAGGATAGTTGATGACATTGAGTCGGCTTTTCCAGTGGGTTGAATCCTTCGTGCATTCAAGGGTTCTTTCATATCCCTCAGAATTGTTATTTTTTGCTTTCTTCATGAAAATCTTGTACAATTCTTATTCTTGTGTTCATAAATATTTTCTTTTTGTTGGCTACACTTATGAGAACTTTTCTTCTTTTTTTGTAGCATTATTGTTGGAATACAGAAAGGCAATTGACATTTGTATATTAAATTTGTACAAGCCTCCTTGCTAAATTCTTTTATTGTTTGTAATAGTGTTTCGCTTACGAAATTCTTTTCTTATTTGTAATAGTTTTCCACTTTGGTTATCAGGCATACATCATTTGAAAATAATGATCTTATTATCTCCTCTTTAAAAAGTTTTTTTTTTTTTTTTTTTTTTTGACAGAGTCTCGCTCTGTCGCCCAGGCTGGAGTGCAGTAGTTAAATTTGTATCTCAGAAAACAGACACAATGCCATTCTCCTGCCTCAGCCTCCCGAGTAGCTGGGACTACAGGCACCCGCCACCACGCCGGCTAATTTTTTGCATTTTTAGTAGAGACGGGGGTTTCACCGTGTTAGCCAGGATGGTCTTGATCTCCTGACCTTGTGATTTGCCCGCCTCGGCCTCCCAAAGTGCTGGGATTACAGGCATGAGCCACCGCGCCCAGCTTTTTTTTTTTTTTAAACAAGGAATAACATAAAGATTATTAGTTGATACTTTTCTATGATCTAGCAGTCATCTGGGGCAGCTGATTATTGTTGAGTCATCTAAACCGTTATTCCCATTTCTGGGAATGCATCCCGGAGACTAATCCCAGAGAAGACTAAAATTGTTTGCATAAAGCCATTCATATCAGTGCCACCTGTACGAGTAAGGATGGAAGCTATTGATTGTCCATTAGCAGAAGAATGGTGACACCTGTTATGGGGCAGCCACTCAAGAGAATGTGACCCAAAGTCAAATTATGAGGGCTAGATAGAAACCAAGAAATAATTCATAGAGCATTCAAAGAGAAGACCAGAATAGAAAATAACACACCTGCATAAAGTTATGTTTACTCCAAGTACAAGGATCATGAAGGAAATTTCGAACTGAGTAATGCTGAGTCTGGAGGAAGCATAGAGGGAAAATGGAATGACCGGGACTAAATTGAGAAAGGCTTACTCTGTGAGTATTGTGTCTACAACGAGCTGGCGGTGTGATTTTGTGCAAGACTTTCAGTTCTTGTCTTTTCGAATAGGCTAAGAATTCAATTCTCTTACAGATTATTGTTAGCATGAAATGAGGAAGTGTTTGTTGAGGACCTCAGTGCCTGGCAGACCATTCATGTTAGTTTTCTCCTCTTTAAAAATGGTTTTACCCTTATTTTTTTCTATAGTGTGATTGCATTAGATATTAACTCTAAAACAATAATAAATAACAGCAGGATATGGAACATTCTTATCTTTTCCTGACATGAATGGGCAAGCTTCTAGTGTGTCACCAGTAAGCGCAGTGGCTTCTGTTTTCATGCAACAAGAGGCATCTATTCCTATTTACCCTGTTTTGTCCAGTTAAGGAACTATTTACCAGCTTCTAATTTAAGAGTTTCTTTTTCTAACCAAGAGTGTGTATTGAATGTTATTACATACGCCTTCAGTATCTCCCATAGCCATGGTGATCCTTTTACTCTTCCCCCATAATGCGTATGCTAAGCAGTTCTTACCCTTTCGTTCTTTCCTCCCTAATGATGATTTAAAACGTTTATTCTTTTTCCCCAAGGATTTCAGGTCTTGGCGTCTGCTTCCCATTACTGGCCACTGGAGAATGTGGATGGGATCCATGAACTTCAGGATACAACTGGAGGTACAGACATGGGTGCTGAGAGCAGCTGTGGGCCCGGGAAACGCAGGGCCACTGGGGAACATGGGTGCTGAGAGTGGCTGTGGGCATGGGAAACTCAGGGCCATCAGGAGATGCAGGTGCTGAGAGCGGCTGGCCTGGGAAACCCAGGGCCATCAGGAGATGCAGGTGCTGAGAGCGGCTGGCCTGGGAAACCCAGGGCCATTGGGAGACATGGGTGCTGAGAGCGACTGTGGGCCTGGGAAACCCAGGGCCATCAGGAGATGCAGGTGCTGAGAGCGGCTGGCCTGGGAAACCCAGGGCCATTGGGAGACATGGGTGCTGAGAGTGACTGTGGGCCTGGGAAACCCAGGGCCACTGAGGGACATGGGTGCTGAGAGCGGCTGTGGGCCCGGGAATCCCAGGGCCATCAGGAGAACAGATGTGGACAGAATCTGCTTTGAAGCCAGGGTGATAGAGATGAACAAATACTTGTGTAACTTCCCATAATAATTATTTCAAAGCTTTTTATTTTTTGTAGAGATGGGGTCTCGCTATGTTGCCAGGTTGGTCTCAAGCTCCTGGCTTCAGCAATCCTCTGGCCTTGGCCTCCCAAAGTGCTGGAATTAGAGGTGTGAGCCACTGTGCCAGGCCGCAAAGTATTTTACTAGAATTTTTATAGAGAGAGCTATTACATATTGAATGGCAGAATTCCTGATTCAAAATATGATTAAAATGTGCATTTTCCCCAACAACCTTGAAACAGAAGCTGGCCTGAGGATGCCTCTATATGCAAGTCCAGATGTCTATTTTCTAGGTTGAATGGACTGGCGTCATCTGCACGCTGGCCACAGCAGGGGCCTATCTGAAGCAGATGTCAAAGGCCAACTAAGACCAACTCACGTGTTTGAAGGGCCTATGCTTCATTCAGCAAATGCATCCCCATCTACCAATCAGCTTCTCCACACATCAGCTCCATTGGAAAAGATTAAGCATCACCTAAGACGTTTCCAATGAGATCCAATTCCAAATAGTCTGTGTTTGAGTTAATTCAGACATTTGTTGGTAAGAGAAACCTCACACCTTCCTGGGTATTTTTTTTTTCTCTTTCTAATAAGGACTTTTTAAAAACTGTAAGCTTTGTATGACTTAGGACGGTTTTCCATTTCATTTTTATTTACTGATCGCTCTTGATCATGTCAGATGGCTGATGTGTGCGGCGAGGGTTTGCCGTACAGCAATCCTAGCATGTGCTTTGGTCGTCCCTGTTCTGGTTCCATGGGAGGCATTTTATTTTTAAAACCATGTATTGCCGGTGACTGTGCTTTCCACACTGGCACACTAGCATTTTCCTTACTCCTATGATTTAATGTGTTGCTGGACATTACTGCTGAAGCTTCTGAAATGCTTCCTTAAAATTTGCACACTGAGAACCATCAGTGCTCTCTCTGTTGCTGGTGTTCTCAGAGTGAGGTGCAGTTGAGCACGCACTCCGTGAAGGGCACCTGCGTGGGTGCCACACGCGCTGCCTGCCCAGCATTGCTCTCATCCACCTGCCTATAGGGCGGCAATATGGTCACATTTGGAAACCACCCTAGAGCCAGATGTCTTTTCCAAACGGTTGGCCTGGCAGGGCAGAGAAAGCCCCTGTGTAAGTTTGTTTCATGACCGGTTCGGGTTCAAACAAACCACGTTCCCTTGTTGGCCTCTAGTTTTCTTTTTCGAAGGCCTTTATTTTAAAGCCGTGGAAAGGGGGTCATTTCATCAAGAGGAGTTGCCTTCTTGAAACAGTTCACTGTTCCAGGACCCAGCAATGAAAATGCCAGGAGTTTTTTCAAACAAGAGCTTGAATAACTATCAGTGTCTTTCTCTCCTCACCCCTATACCTGAACTCACTGTGGTGGCTTAAAGCAGTAACTCTTGGTGCTTTGAAACCTTTACCTATGAAAAATTCTTCTCTTAAGGTGATACAATTACAGATACAGTTACACACTGTGGCTGCATTTTGTTCCCTGAATGTATCGACTCCCAGTAAAGCTCTAATATATCCGTGTTTGTCCTGGAGCACTGCAATGTGGAAGGTTTCTCTGCACTTCCCTGCTGGATGCATTCTCTAGGTTGTAACGCGATGCTGGCATATTTCAATTTGATTACAGGCTTCTTAAGGGAAAAAAGAAAAGAGTCGACCCCATCAGCACATTTAGCTGCTGGGGACAGGTGAATGGCTTTGGCAAGCCTTTGGAGGATGTGCAGCTTTGTCGTTTGTTGCCGAATTCTCCGTCGTTTTGTCCATTTGTCATCATTCACGCAGTTGTTTCCATGCAGAGTGTGTGTCTCATCAGTTCTTGTGACATCATAAGCATTCATCCTTTTGTTGAGCCTGTGTTATAAGTGGCCAGGTTCAATTTCATATCTCTCAACTAAGTATCCGCATAGGGGTTGAAGCTGGAAAATTAGAACTATCACACGTGGCCAAATTCAGCAGCCATCACGCCCTGGCGTGTGAGCTGAGTGGGGTCATTGGAGTGGCCGAGCTGCTGACCAAAGTAAACAAGGGTGGTGGAGGCCGGGAGATGTGCGGTCCAAAGAGAAAGTCCAGGTGCTCTTGGATGAAAGAATCATCCTCCTGCTGCTGCTGCAGGTTGAGAGATATGTTGGTCCCATTTGTCTTTTGTCTCACTCACTCGCTGTGCTTTTTCTTTTTGTTGTTTCACCCAGCGTCCCGAACCCACAAGCTCACTGTGCTTCCTTCCCGTAATGCTACCTTTGTGTATTCCAATGACTCTGCCTACTCAAATCTCTCTGCAACCGTAGGTGAGCATTTACGTACTTTTGTTCTTCGTTCTGTCAAGTTTGGATCAACGATGAATTCTGAGGCCAATTCTGTTTGGTAGTATCTGAATTCACTATGTCCTGGCTAGCAAGTGAGCAAATGTCCCAGTCAAGAGAGCAGATCCAAGGTGTTAAAAATAACCACTAGGGTTAAGTCTAAAGGAAGATTGCAATACATTAGAACAGGGGTCCCCAGTCCCTGTTACCAATCCGTAACACTGGCACCAATCCGTAGCCTGTTAGGAACTGGGCTGCACAGCAGGAGGTGAGTGGTGGGTGAGTGAGTGAAGCTCCATCTGTATTTACAGCTGCTCCCCATCGCTTGCGTTACTGCTCGAGCTCCACCTCCTGTCAGATCAGCGGCAGCATTAGATTCTCTTGGGACCACAAACCCTACTGTGAACTGCACATGCGAGGGATCTAGGCTGCACGCTCCTTATGAGAATCTAATGCCTGATGATCTGTCACTGTCTCCCATCACACCCAGAGGGGGCTGTCAAGTTGCAGGAAAATAAGCTCAGGGCTTCCCCTGATTCTACATGATGGTGAGTTGTGTAATTATTTCATTACATATTACAGTATAATAATAATAGAAATAAAGTGCACAATAAATGTAATGCACTTGAATCATCCCCAAACCATCCTCTCCAACCCGTCCATGGAAAAACTGTCTTCCACGAAACCGGTCCCTGGTGCCAAAAATGCTGGGGACCACTGCACTAGAAGGTATATACATTCTTTCAGGTTCCCAGGATCTTCTAAGCCAGCTGCTTGTTTCCAGAACAAAACAGACACAAGATGAGAGCTTTTCTAAACACAGCGTTTGTTTGGATTTTTCAATGAATTGTCTTCTTTGGGGGAGGAAAGCAGAGGCCCTTTTAACGGAAAATTAACTAAAAAAATACCTCATCAAACATTTGATTTCTTGTAAACATTAAAATCAGCCTTTCGTCCGTAGCTGGACTTTAAAAAAATCGTTAGAAGCTGTTTGTGAAACATATACCCACGAGAATCATGGTTAAATTATTTTCTTATTTGATAACCTCCAGAGCCTACATGGCTCAACGTGAAGCTCAAAGCAACAGGGGTAATAGCAACTGAGGCATTTATTAGATCAGCATAGTAGCCAGTTCTGATCCTGTCGATCTTACCCTGTGATCCTTTTCAACACAGAAACTGTCTGCTCTTTCAACTGTAAGGTGATTGGCTTCCAAAATTAATGTTGCCAGTCAAGGGGTTCATACAGCCTGGCTCAATTATGCAACCACTAGTGATCCATTTAACCTTGCAATACATAGGTCTCCATCAGCAAAAATGAGATAAAATTTAAAAATGAGTTTAAAAAGTAAGGAAAAACACCGAGGTCCCTTGAATTGGTTATCCATGTGACAATGTAGCTGGAAAGCCTGAGCTGGGGTTGGGGTCAGGTCCACAGACCCTGTTAGCTCTCCCGTGTGTCTTCAGCTGGGCTGACGGCTGCCAGGGGCTCAGACATTCTCCCCAGCCCATGTGGTAGCAAAGATCTGTGAGCGACTGTGATCTCAGTTAACAATAAATGCCTACTCCTGATTTTTGTAGTCTTCACTTATCTATTCTGTAAACCATTTACCCCACACCCTCACCATCAGATCCCCTGGCCATGGGAACGGGACACAACAGGATGATTGGACGGGGCAGTGCCCCTCGGGATTTGTGGCCAGCTGGGCTTGTCACCTGCAGATTCTCCTGGGACTATGCAAAATGTTACTTGGGGTTTTCCTCCTAGTGCCTGAAAATGGGTTCTGCTAAAATCCCAAATCTACCTGTCCAGGTTCAGGGGATTTCAATTAAAACTCAAAAGGAGAAGGAGTTCAGCTGTAGTTCCATGTTCACACTTGCACTGAAATGTTCCACTTGGAACGCTCAGCATGAGAACGGGGGTGGGGAGGACTCGAAAAGCAGGTAGGCACAGCCAAACTCCAGGACAGGAGGCTGTCGCCACGCCACGCTTGGTAACCCATCTGTTGGCAAATACCACAATTATCACATCATCATACGTTATGATATGCAATATGAAATCTATATGCAAATATGAAATCTATATTTGTACATAATACCTGCATATTATGTACAAATATATTAATATTATTTAATGTTAAATTTTTACCTGACACATACACGTAACTTATTTACAATTTAATTACTAATAATTAAATATTACTGATGCTATGAATATTCATATTATAGAATAATATATGTTATAAATATATAATTAGAAAGATCAATAATACCGCATACTTACACATAAGTTATTTGTAGGTCTGACACACATCTTCAGACTTTTAATCTCGGAAGGTTATTAACATATAATGTTGTCATTTTTCTTCCTTAGATATTGTGGAAGGGAAGGTCAACAAAGGCATTTACCTGAAAGAGGAAAAGGGAGTCACGCTTCTCTATTACGGCAGGTACAACAGCTCCTGCATTAGCAAGCCAGAGCAGTGTGGCCCTGAAGGTGAGTAGCTGATCCCTGCGGCATCTTTGTCATGCATTTCATTATCAGGGAGCACCTGCTCCTCTGGCAACTGGCAGATGTGAACCTGAGGTTCTCATCAATTGCAGAATGCGTGAGAATGTCAACGACGGATTGGAGGGCAGGGGAGGGAGGAATACAGGCAAGGAGGTGACGAAGCAGAGACTTGTCCTGGTGGCTGGAAGTTATAACATCCTCTTACAGAGATGTGAGATCAAAATACTTAATCTTGTAAAGGAGGGGAAAAAAAAACCTTCCTAAAAAACGGATACAGCAATGTCACAGTGGGGATTGAACAGGGTCGCGGCGTTTCTGGGAAGGAAATTGATGGCATGGCACCTGCGGTGTGATTTCTGGCTCTGGGATGTTGACAGCGAGCGGGCAGGGCATACCTTCGAACACTCGTGCCTGGTTTTGGTTCTTTTACATTCATTGAGAGGGCTGGACTGTGGCTCGACCTGTCCTGGCAGGCGGTCACAGGCCTGTGGCTAACGTCGTGCCGTGGACAGAGCAGAGATGCAAAAGAAACACCGGGAATCGACTTGCTTTCGTTTGCTTTTACTGTGTGAAGTGTAACCTGCTCTCTCGTATCTAGGCTTCAGGCAATGCACGTCTGGACCACATTGCAAATTTTCTGGGAAATTGTTCTCTGCCATCCAAACCAGCTTGGAGCCTTCAAGTTCCTTTCTCATAGGCTAAAAGAAAATTATGATTTCTAGGGAGGAACAAAGCTGACTGCAGGCCTTGTACGAAGCTCTGAGGCATTTAGGACATCAGATGGCCTTCTGTGATGAGTTCATTGTACATGATTGTAGGACAATACGGACTATGTTCCAGTAAAAATAAACAACAGCTTAGCAAGGCAAAAACATGTGGGAGGACACATCTTGGGCTTTGTGGAAACCAGAATTTTGAGCAATGGTTATGAGGCCCAAAACCACGGTCAGGTTTACAAACTCATAGTTTGAGCTGTTCCTGAGTTCAAACAGCTCCATAAACATCCCAGGCTTATTTGTTTTTACAAAGTGAAAAACAACCATGGGCTCGGCGTGGGCTCAGTGGCGGGGCGAGGAGGACGGGAGAGTAATGTGTGCTGCTTCCTTTCGCTGGATTCGGGAAGCGCGGGCATCTCTGCGGTGGCTTTTTCTGGGTTTCTAGGGAACAGCTTCTCTTGGGAGTACAGGCATCCCGAAAGCTCCAGCAGCCACACTGGAATCAATCTCATTTGAGGACAAGGATGGTGCAGGCGCCAGGGGCCCCAAGGCCTGGGACTAGCACAGATCACGAACCCGAGACAGGAGACTGGGATGGGACCAGCGGGAAATCAAAGCTACTGGACAAGTTTTGTCTGCACGCCGAGGTCACACGTGAGAGCCCTCTGAGCTGATTCTGGCGTGTGGCTGTGTTCGGTTGGACGGGCATCGGGTTAAAATTTTAAAATTAGCTGTCAACATTGAAAAATAGGAAATTTTCACAGATTTCCAGTTTTTCTGGAGAAATCTCTCCTGACTTCTCTGGCTGGCTGGAGCTAAGTCGTGGTGGCCCCGGGCTTCTGTCTCCAGTTCCCCTCAGCCCCCACCAGACTTCTCGACTCTTCCAATAATCTTCAGGTTGAACAGAGCCTGTCCGCAGCATGAGCTCTGGGGCCAAAAGGCGTGGGTTCCACTCTCGGTTCTGACCTGTTCGTGGGGGTCTTGGGCAACTGCTGCTTCCCTCTGAAAAGCCTGATCTGTCAAGTGAGTGAATGAAAGGACCTTCCCATGGAGTTGCTGTGAAGACTGGAGTAACTATTACAGCGTATTCCGGGCACACGGTTGGTCCAGTGTCGAGGGGTCGTTTGGATTTTTTTTTTTTTTTTTTTT